ACAATGATGATATCAGTACAGGCACGTTTTCTAATATATTTTTTGGCGAGAATAACTTTATTTTGTCATTATTAAAAAAGGAAAAAAAATTTCTTTTAAAAAACCCAAAATCTTTTTTTTCCAACAAATTTGTTTTTCATTTCGTTTCGCAAAGATTTCCTCTTAGAAATAAAAACAAAAATTAAATGAAAAAAAGTGAATAGCAAACTAATCTTGCATGCAGACAGAATATTTTACTATTGTTTTTTTTCTGGTTCATTGTTTCACGAATTTTTCCACACACACACACATACACCAAAGAAAATGACTAAGATAATTAATCTATTCTCACGCAACAAGCAACAAAAAAAAAAAAAGAAAAGAAAAATAGACAAGAAATCCTTTGTTTTTGTTTTTCAAACAAGAACAAAAACGATAAAGGAGAAAAAATAATACAAACTGCATGGGGTTAACTAATAATGATGGTGATCATCATCATCATCAGGATGATGGTATGAACAACAACTTTATACTGAACAGTTCTTTATTGAATTTTTCATTTTGAATCATCCATATTCTGATGAAGATTCATGCATTCTTGTTCTTGAAATAAAGTAAAACAAATATCAATATTGAAATTCGAATTGAAATTAAATTAAAAGAATAATTAATCGTTATTTGTAAGATTTATTTGAATCATCGTTCCTGGATAGTTTTATGGCTTGTTCTCTTCACTTTTTTTTATTGATTCAAATTCATCTTATCATCATTAATAATTCATTTTAATTGCAAGTTTATATTATTATTATTAGTTGATTTTTTTGTTTTGTTTCATTCCATCGATTATAGAATTTCTATTGATTTTATGCTTTTTTTTCAAGTTATGGGTTAATTCAAAAAAAACAACACTATTTCAATGCAGATTATCATTATTGTCAATTTTCATCATCATTCCGTTGTCATAAATGTCTATAAAGTTGCAAGTACCAATATTATATCATCATCATATCACACTGGTATCTAATGATTGTTTCAATGTATATCATGTTTGGGTTGGTTGGTTTAAAGGCAGTGAAAAAAAACTACAACAAAAACATTAGTTTCTTTATCAACTAAATGAACACATCATCATCATCATCATCATTATTATTTTTATTATTTCCAGAACGGTTAGGATAGGTTCCCTTATTGTTTGTTTTTGTTTTTTTCATCAACAAAATGTTTTGTTTTGTTTTTATTTTACTTCAACATTCTCCTTTTTTTATAAATAAATATGAAGTGAATTCTATTTGTTCCAAGCCAAAAAAAAGGAAAAGAAAACGATGACTACAACTTTATCACTAAAACAAAAACATGTAACGAAACATTTAACAAAAACAACGACGAGAAAAAATTTGGCGCCAATTATTTGCTATAAAGAGAGAAAGAGAGATAGAAATGAAACAGTAAAAACAATATGAACTTAGATTTTTTCTCTCTTAATGTAATACAAAGAATACCGATTCTGTTTGGTTGTATTTGTTTGTATATTCAAGGTTCACCAGGGGATAATAATAATCGTCATAATGATAATAATACTGATAATGATGATGAAGACTTTTTTTTTGTTGAACATTTTTGTCTCATCATTACGGCAGTTGTTCGGTTTCAAGCTTTACTTTGATTTGATTTTTTTTCCTCTTGTGGTTTGCTTGGTTCAATATATACTCTTATTATACACTGATATAGAAACATTACAAATAAAATTCTATCGGTCATTCAGTAATTCATGCGGTTTTTTTTGTTGGCTGTGGTTTTTGTATTGAACGATAACACGAAAATGCGGTTATTTTTTTGGATAATGGATTTTTTTTCTTTCTCTCGTTCGATGATAATCATGATCATCATCTTGTGATGATCGAAACGCCCCTATTTTACTACTATTTTGTTCGATACCAAAAAAAAACCAAACGTGTTTTATATATTCCCATCCCTATTGCTTTTTCCCTCATCACCCTCATCACCACCACTATTGACATGAATGTACGTTGGGGGAAAAAATGGTGCATTTTATTATAATAATAATAATTATTATATGTGTTCAGAATAATGAAAAAGTAGGTTAATTATAATTTACTTAATGGCTTTAACGGTCACTGTTTTTTTTATATATTTTTTGTGTATTTGGTTGGTATGTATGATATGATATGATGAATAAATATAAAGTATAGATGAGAAAAAAGCTATGTATCAAATCATTTGGCTTTATCGTTTGTTTCTTTTTCTATTGTCGATGAAACAATCACAGTATGTTTTTTCCTTTCTTTATTTAAGTGACTTTGAAATTCCAAGAATCGTTAAAAAAACGAAACAAACAAACAATGAAGACCTAGAATAGCGATGATTTTACGGTTGTTTGACTGTTTGAATGTTTCAAGTTTATTTCTATTTTTATTTCCATTCTGTTGAAACTGATTTCATTCCGATTGATGGAACTTTCACTTTTCTTTAATCTTAAAATTCATTGTCATATTGAAGAGAGAGAGAAAAAAACGTTAGTATTTGTGTGAAACGTTTCGATTGAAAAATTGCTTAGATGCTGTGTGATACCATTCCAACCATATCTCCTATTTTTTTCACTCTCTCTTCATTTCTTTTTTCTTGTTTTCTTTCACCGTCTGTGTAATGATGGAATCGATTCCAACCAACTAGATCCATTTATTTGACCAACAGAGCGAATAATTTTTATCCCCTTTTTTTCTCATTCTTTCACATTTTTTTTAACTTTTTTGTTATTCTATCAAACAAAATGTTTGTCAAATAAATGTGTAGAGAACAAATAGATTGAGAAAAAGAGAATAATAATCATAGTGTTATAATCTGAATAATAATAAATCTCTGCTTTCAATAACGAATATGATTCCATTTTTTTTGTAAATATTCGAATCAAAATTTATCATTCAACAATTCTAATGGTTGTAAACATTATGCATTTATATCACGGTATACATTTATACATCTATTACATTCAAACATTATACAGAATTTTTTTTTTCTTTCATTCTTTTTGCCTATTCATACATGATAGTTAATTGATTCAATCATCATCATTGTTTTGTTTATATTACATAGAATTTTTCTTTTTCTTTTTTTTGTTGATATCATTGTGTAATTATAGTCTATTATCAGACTAAAAATATATTCCCGGTTATAAATGGATTATTATTGTTGTTTTATTGGAAAAATTTAAATGATATATATACATAAATATCTGTTACGATTTAAATAATGATGATTATCTTTTTTCGTTATATGTTGTTTGAATGATGATTATTATTATTATTATTGACCATTGAATGGATATTATTCATGGAGACTTTCAAAATAATTTGATGCCAAAAAAAAGCAGAATTTTCTGCTTTCAATACTTTCAAATTCTATAGAATTCATTAAATTCATGAATAAGGAAAAAAAATCAATGTTTCAGACCAGTAATTTAGTTTTTTTTTTGTTTGGTAACCAAATTTTTTTTAACCCTATCTCTATTCGTAAATTTTGTTGTTGTTTTTTCAATTTCAATTTTGTCGTCATTCGATTTTTTTTTGTTGGTTATCAGATCTGCAAAGTCTATTAGACAATGTGTTTGTGTGTACACTCTGGGATTTCCAAACAAACATATACACTGAATGTATAAATTGATTTAGCAGAGCCCTTTGTGGCTTGAATAACGAAATTTTTTTTTGTTTGTTTGTAGAATCCAGAATAGTTATGTGTGTTTGTTTGTATATGTGAATTCATCCATTCATCAATTTAAATTAAAAATTTATCTTTTGAATATATCATAGTGGCTAGAGAAAAATAAACTAATAAGAAAAGAAAAGAAAATTTCACTTTCATTCATTTTCGAAATTTTCAATTTGATTTTCATTTTCATTTTCATTTTTTTTTGAATTGAAATCGGAATCAAAATAAAATGAAAAAAAAGATACATAAAACTTATCCATTTTTATGTGGAAAATTTGATATACGTTGAATTTTGTAGTTTTGTTTGTTTTCTTCTTTCATACTTCTCAAGGCCTACTCATATAAAGAATCAATATTTTCAAAATGAAAGTGAAAAAAAACTAACAACAACAAAATTGGCCATCTTATTTGTTATTGTTGTTCATTTTGTTGAAATTTTTCCTTTTTCTTTTTCCTGTATTTGTAACAGCGAATTTTCTTCATTGAATTCACAAAAAAAAGATAGAATCGTTGTTAGAATGATTCGACCGCATCATCATCATCATTATTCTATAATATAATAATAATCCATTGGAATGAAAAAAATCTACATATTTGTTTGTTTGTTTGATGTCTATGATTTTTAGTATTAGATTAGATTTCTTTCTGTCTAACTTTTAAGGAAGAAATGTATCAAATTCATTTCTATTCTATTAACTTTTGGATAATAATAAACAACTACAAAAAAAATATTATTGTTGTTATTATTTGATTCACGATTCTTATGAGAGAATTTTCTATAAAGATGTAATATTTGACCTGTATGCATATGAGTGTGTGTGCTATACACATCTCAACAATATTGAATTTTTCATGATGGAAAAAAATGATAATGTATAAATTGAGAAAATATGTAAATTATTGCATGTTTCTACATACTTGTACAACTTGTTCGTTAATTTTTTTGTTGTGCAACCTAAAGAGAATAGTAACAAATTGAAGATGAACAATTTTTTCCTGATTGAATACCGATACTGCAGAATATATTTTTTTGTATCAATATTATAATTCACTCTTTTTTCCCATTCGATCTTGGTTTTGTGATAGTATACACACTCACACATCGATAAATCATTGAATACAATTAAATTGATTAGATTTTCATATGCATATTTTGTATAAACAACTGATTCACGGCAGGATTTCAATATTATTTTTCCTGATCATTTTGTTTAACAAAAACAAAACTATTTTTGCAACATTTAAAATTGTTATAATAATAATGATTGGTTTTTTTTACTATCTTAATATTTCTTTAGGTGACAATGGTGAATCGTGAATCGGCTGAAAGAGCCGTCAAAGATGCCAATCCAATTATTGATGGTCGAAAAGCAAATGTCAATCTGGCCTATTTAGGTGCCAAACCAAGAAATGGATTCCTACAGAATGGTAACAACAACAAAAATTCTTTTTATTCTTTTCTTTTCCTAAAATGATTATTTCTTTATTTTCTTTTCCCATGAATATTCTTATTATTCTTAAAAGTATACATTTGATCATCTGACGACCGAATCATTTTATTGATTAATTTTTTGTTGTGTGTATGTGTGTGTGTGAATTTGTCATTTTATTTCACTCTCTTTTATTTTGATTCAAGTATTTTGACATTCATGTCTGATTCAAGAAAAAAATTATTCTTTTTTTGATTTTGTTTTTGTCTTTTTCTTTGACAATTTTTTTCCATAGATTTGTAACAAATGAAAATATGCCATCGGCAACCACACATTGCCATTATATTCAGACATTTTTGATTTTTCTAGTGTGTGTGTGTCAAGCATTCATATTTTGAATTGAAAATTCTTTTATTTTATAGATATGAAGAAAAAAATGCTGAAAGTTTGCTTTTTTTCAATTCGTAATCAAAGAAAAAATTTTGAAAAATTGGATTTTTTTAGATTGCATAAACTTTATTCATTGATGATCGAAACTTTTTTTTTGTTTCCTTGATTATTAATCAAACAAACACACAGAAAAATTTGTAACAAATATTGTTAATGAAGATAGAGATGATGAATTATCGCTTCCATAATCATAGATTATTCGTTTTTTTTCAATTTATGTTCCAAAAAAATACAACATTTCGAATCGACTTTTCAACCCCTTACATATAAATGAATAATTGATGTCGTTTTACTTGTTCTAAATGGTTGAATCGTTTTTCTTCATTTTTCATTTTTCTACTATTTATTAACAATATAGATTATCTAATTTAATTGCAAAGTTTTATACATACATTAAAGACATTTTAAAATGAATTTCTTTATAAAAATTAATATGGATGTTGAAATTTTTAGGAAAAATATTCGAAAATTCCTATAGATTTTTTATTCTTGGAACTTGTCATCATCATGTTTCTTTTTCTTTTTCTTTTTTGGAGTCCCATTCTTCATCAATCAGAATCATATTCATTCAATTTGATAGTTTTTTCTCATAGTTTTGGCCTAAATTATTACTGTTGTCTTATTTTATTCTGCGAATTTTTCCTCTGATTTTACAAAAATTATTCGCAAACATCAGCCAAATTCAGATAATTTGTTATTCTTGAATTCTGGTCTGTATTCAGAAAAAAATTGAAATCGAAAAAATATACGCAAATCTATACAATAGTTGACAATTCTAGCCAAAGCTATTCTAAACATACTAATATTTCCTATAAATATGCATCAACGAAAAAAAAATTCATAATAGAAATAATGAAAATATCAAATGATGATGATGACAATTTCAAGTATATTTCATTTCCAAAAAAAATAAGAAGAAAAAAAATCTTCACGGTTCATGGTCGCGTATGACGCGAAACTTTTTTATGAATGTATCTTTTTTTTCATGGTTATCATCATCATTATCATCATTCATTTATTCATTCATTTTATTCACCAATGTGATTATCATGATCAAATGATAATTTCATCTTTTCTGTCTATATCGTTCTAATATTTTTATCATTCATTGCCATTGTTGTTGATCTGTTTTTTATCTCATTATCATTATCATCATCATCATCATCATCATCATTATTCACTTGCTTGCTTCATCCAATTACTTATTTTTACAATTTGTTATTTTTTTGGCAATTTCTATTCTATTCAGATAGATTCAAATTCCAATATGATTTTAATTGTAATTAGCTTCTGTATCATTTTATATTCCGTTCGATTAAACTAATCGACAAAAAACAACCAGAAAAAATTGGCTGTTTGTCTCATCAGTTTCATCATCATGTTTAATAAGAAAATTTACCGGGGGTAAAAAAAAAAAATATATATCATAGAACAACAACAGATGATAAAGTAAAAAATTGGATCACTAAAGAATAAAAATTGATGATGAGAAAAACACAGCAGATGTGTGTGTTGTCAGACAGATTGGCTATAATAAGTTTTTTTTTCGAAAAAAAAAGATCTGAAACACATATGAAACATATTAACATTATCATCATCAACACCGATTCGATTTGATTTGATTCTTCGTTGTGGGATTTATACATGTCAAACCATTTTCTGTTTGTTTGTTTGTTTTTTGCTCAATTTTTTTTTCTTTTCGTTAGATTTCGAAACATCAATTTTCTTTACGTTTTTTTTCTCATTTAATTTTGATGGATTGATTGATTTTGATTAAACCATCATGTTTGGCTATAATCATTTCTTTTTTTCATCTTTCGATCATCCAAATCATCATCTACAAACGATGATTGAATACATAGTTTCTTTTTATAGCATACGAATAATATCACTGTGGCTAGTGTAATCGAACGAATGAAGAAAACGAATCTGTTAACACATGTATCGTTAGCAAAAAAAAAAAATTTACAATTCTCATTCCGTGACATGTTGTCGAGATAATTTTCATTTTTATTTTTCCTAAAAATGACAATCAGTTTTTTCGTTGTTGTTTAACAACTAGACACACTCGAATCGACTGACAATTTTAATTGAATAATATTGACAAAATGTTGTCAATATATTCTCTTTGTTAACAAACTTCTAAACACTTTTTTTTGACACGAATTACAATTATATTGATTTACTTGTGTGTTTTCATTTTTAATTGAAGAAAGATTATTCCATTCCAATGCAAACGTGTTCAATATTTATAACAACAAACAAAACACATTCAATATTTTATTGAAAAGAGAATATTAAAAAAAAAATAATCAACCAAATAGATAACTAACCTAGATGTTCTCGAAATAAAACACATCTAGCTTATATTTTTTGCCATTCATAATATTCAAGAGCTTTTCGTTGTTATTGTTGGTGGTGGTGGTGCTGATTTCTTTTCACGAGAATTCTGCTGCTGTTGTTGCTGTTACTTGTTTTTTTCCAAGTTTTATTCCGTGATCATGATTTATTTTCCAAATGATAATAATAATATTCATTTGGCATAATGTATATTTGTGTGTGTATGTGTGGTTTATGTGTATGTGCGTGTCTAGTATCATATTTAATGTTCCATCATCCTTATATGAAGACAAGAAAAAATTCATTTTGAGAATTTTTTTTTCGGTTTCGAGAAAAAAATGAACAAAGGCCACTATTAACAATTATCCCTACCACTGACACAACGGAAAACAATCCGGTTCCTTGTTTCCAAGAAATTGTCATTCATTGTTGTTGTTGTTGTTGTTGTTTTTTGTCGATTTTCATCATATCTATACGTTTTACCTAATAATAATATTTTTTCAGTGCTTTTCAAGTATTATTCATTTTGTGAATTATCAACAACAACAACAGCAACCATCAAGTCATCATCATTATCGTTGCCGTTTTTTTTTTGTTCCAAAATATTCGTCGGTCGACCCAAGTTATAATTCAATTAGGTAAATTTCTCTTCTCATCCAGTATTTGCACCTAAATATTTCTACTTTTTTTTTGTTTTATTTAATATCTAAAAACCTTGGAATCAATGAATTTCTGTAGTTTCTTTCCAATATCAATTATTCATTATATTAAAATGAAAATGAAGGAAAAAAAATAAAGATGATTTGTCACTAACATTGTCATGATAAAAAACAGGTTAAATATATCATTTTGATTCTCTTCGTTATTTGTTTCACTATTAATGTCACACAGCCAAAAATTATTCAATGAAGAAATAATATATAATATTTTTTTTTGTTTCATTTTATAATGATAATAATTATTATTTTATTTTTATTTTCATTTCTCTTTCATTTTCCATGTCTTATATATTCTCCTGTGTAAAATTTATTTTATTCTATAACATTTGACATTTATGTAATGTGTTTTATATATATGAAAAGAAAACTAACAGATTGTTAATTATGAACCAGTTATTGTCTCAATGATTCTCATTTTCTTCTTTTGTGTTGTTTTTGATTATTAATCGAAATCATCTATGTAATAAGAAATTTTTGTTTTTAACTTGATTTTTCTTTTTCTGTTTTGTTTAAAATAATTCATTATCATCATTGCAATTACCATTATCACCAACATCATCATTTGTTATACAAACACTTGAACTTTGTGTATGATGCAAAAAAAAATATCCAAAAATATGTCGAGAATTGTTGAACTATATATACAAGCAATACAAATAAATATTGGTGGAACAACAAGAAAAAAAAGTTTTTTTTGATACCATTATTGTAAGAAATATAAATGTTCATCATCAATGATGATGATGATGATGATGAAATTTCAACTCTAATCTAAATCATCACATAACACAAATGAAAAAAAAAGAATCGTTTACTTCCTATCTCACTTTCTCAATATCTTTCATCTGTCTGCTTGGTCTAGTCTTTTCTTTTCTTTTTTTTTGTTCTCATTCCATTCTTTCATCATCATTTTTTTTCTACTTGTTTCATTTTACACTCGAAGCTTATCGTTTCATATATGATTCAAGAAGATTGAAAACACATTCACACATTGTGTCAATAGTGTAATATTCTATAGTAGTCATAGAAATCTAACTGAAATTGCTTCATCATCATCATCATCGTTTTCTGTTGTCGTTTGTCGTTTGTCGTTGTTGTTGTTGTCATTCTGATCATCATCATTATTATTATCATCGCTTATTATATTTCTTTGAAAAAAATAGTATAGGGTATTATCCGTTCGGATATCGCTTGTAAGATCTTTCAATTTTTCATCCGAATTGTTTGAAGGTCTTTATTTCTGCTTTATTTCTTTCTCACATCTTTTATCATATCTTATATATGTTTTGTTTGTTACATTTTTTTTCTCTTACTGTTTTCATTGTATTATCAATTGTCTTAGTCGTCGTCTTCGTTGATTGTTTATATGATAACAACGGCAACAGTGATAATGATTCCCCTTTTTTGTTCCAAAATGACAGATATTTCTTTTTTTTTGTTTGGATGAATTGGCATCTGGTGAAATGTTCAATGTGTGCTTTGGTCTTAA